GACACGATTCAGAGCAGCATGCAGCGAAATGGCAAGCTAGTGCAGTTGGAGACATAAGTGACTTCTTGAAGCAAGCCTAGAAGGGACAGAGGACTCCAGAAACATGGATGCTAGTACTTGAACAGAGCAAGCAAGCCGCCAGCCAGCCAGCCAGCCAGTCAGCCAGCCAGCCAGCAAGCAAGCAAGCAAGCACTTCTAGTTCCCTGGGATTGCCCCTGTGTATTACTAGCCAGGTAAGATTTTTAAATACTGTAATTTTATTCTGATTATTTTCATTGCCTGATAAAAGCCACACTCATCTTGAAACAAAGATATTGAGACAGAAAAGAAAGAACCTGAAGTGGGTCATGGGAAAAGCACAAATATCATGGAAGAATTAAATCCCTACAATATCCTGGGGAAAATGTATGATTTTTCTCTTTTATCCACAACAACTACAACAACAAACCACATTTATCCTTTCCGTTGCTGGTTGAATTGAAATAGTAGTATGTTCTACACAGACTGTCACAGATGTTTTATCTTTGCCTTGTTTATTTTTCTCTCTAGAGTGTGATTGTTGAGTAGCACAGGCTTATCCTATATTTATCTTCCATTTTCCATTTTCATTTGATCAGACAGTTTTATTTCTGGAAATTTGTGACTTTCACACCACATAAGAAGAGAGAAAAGTTAGAAACCCACCTAGACATTCCATTATCTATCTTTTACCCAGTTAATGCTGAATTTGAGCACACGGTGTTCTTGAACTTGGTCTTGTATATTTCTATAAGCAAATGTTTAAGGAGAAAAACAGCCAAAATTGAAGCAATGATACTTCTGTTTTTGTAAATATTTTGGAGGAAAGAATGTCATATACTACATAACATCTTGACCAGCTTGTACTCGTTATGTGTGATGAAATACATTTCTGATAGAAATATTTTACTGAAGAATTTTTTTACAGGCTCTAAATTTAGAACCAAAAAAAAAAGCCAGGACCAGAACTATGAATGTACATATAAAAATAACACAGATATCTTCTGAGCAATTTCACCTGTGACTATAATAAAATCATTTCCTTTATCATAAGAGAATGTGCTATAAGATTGATTTTCATTTCTGGCTAATTTTTGTGTTCTCTCTTGATAGGTGTGTTCAGAGAGCTGTAGTCACAGACTCCCAGGACTCTATTCATAGTGGGCATCCCATATGGAATGCTCACAGTGTGAGCAGATGGGAAGAGGCAATAGCTGATTCTCATCTAAGGGAAGAAGCTTGGCTAAGCTGCTGGTGCAGCTCCCTGGTCTGCCCTCTTGACACTTGCATCTTTTTCTGGAGTTGCTTCGTATTTCTACTAAGAAACAGACTGTTCTGACATGAGCTCAGAGCTGCTGCGTCCATTTCCAACCTAATGTTTCAGGACCCCCACAGCATGGACAGCAGACCCAACAGATTCCCTTAGGGAGAGAAGGCGAAGCATCTGATGCTAGCCCAAATGGCAACAAATATGATACTTGTCATAACTGTTTAACTGTTTGCATTCTTTCTTTACATAAGGATAACAAAACGGCCACCTGAAGATGTCATTTTGATATAGTAGCAGGCTTCCTGTTTCCAACCCGGGCCCTCATCTTACCATGACTCACGTTACTTCTCGAAATGGTCCAGGTCCCTTTTGTTTCTCTTCGTTCACTGCAGTCCATTCCTTGGATGTTCTTAATGATTCCTTTATCCCAGGGCTTTGACCGTACCCTGCTAAAAGCTTTTGTTACCATCCAGAACAATAGGATAAAGCAATATTGAACTGAAACACGTTTTGCAGGTCCATGCCCAGTTACCTGCTCAGCTTTATATTATCCCTTTCATTCCTGACGTTTTTCTGGGATTTATAACTGAATTCTCTGGTTGACCTTTCCCTGACTCCTTAACTTAGTGATGCCCATTGGTGTTGTCGGTGCATTACTGGATATCACTAGAAACGTTGCTTAGCATCATACAGCTTAGCAGACTGGCAGACTGACTGGTGTGTGTGCTGAATAAACAAAAAGTTTAACTGAATAATAGAAACTTTTAAAATTCACAACCTTTAGGCTCATGAGTTTTACTTGTACCAAATAATCACCTTTTAATCTGTAGTTACACTTGGCTAATTACTTATTGCCAAAGATAGGCAGTAAGAAAATCTCTCTTACACACACACATGCACACACACACACACACACACACACACCACATACATGCATTGAACCAAAGGCACAGATTTACTTGTAATTCCTTTGAATGAATTGAATAAATATAATCAACTTTTGATAGATGAACACACTAATCATTATCATATAAATGTTTTATTGCAGAGAAGTTATAGTTATTTACATGCTGTAACACATCACAACATAAATTTACCAAATATATCCTGGTGGGATGCTGTAGATTCAGATAATAGTTTTAGAAGAACCACGGGTTAAGTGAAGAGACTTACAGCTTTGTTGACTCTACAACTCTCGGCTGCTAAATGCTAGAAGTCAAAGGCAGTGTGTTGTCAGTCCTACCTATCACCACTTGCATGCAGAAACCTAGGAAGCAAATACAAGACGACTGTCGGGTTTCAATCCGTATTGCCACCGAAGCTTATGAGGGGTGGGGCAATAATTTATGTTGTAAAGCATTTAATTCTTGCATAAAATATACACTTCTATTAAGACTGATATAAATCTACTTATTTATAAACCCTGGCTTAAAACAATGACAGGATGCAGCCTGTACATGCATTGAAAAGGACAACCTAGCAAATGTTTGTGTGACCTTCACATTGTATGCACTTTCTATTGTTCTCAGCCGGGGGGGCGGGGTGGGGAGGAAATGCTTCCACAATGAGACAGTGCAATATCTTTTGGTGATAAGTGATAACAAAAGGCTAGGGGAGACCCTAGGTATCAGCCCTGATTTAGGATAGTGGAGAGTAATCTGGGGTGGGGGCAGACTGTCACTAAGGTGTAATTTGGCAAATCTGTAAGCCATATGTCAAGCAGGATCATTCTGAAGTGCAAAAATCAGTGACAGTTGACTATGTAATTCTCAGTGTGAATCAAGTGCTAACGGATCTCAGACACAAGCGAAACAAGTACGCGAGTCTAGAAACTCTAAACCAAGCTCACAAATGCTCCTCAGGATACTCTAAAGTCATCTAGCAGATAGGTTTTGATTGGAAAAGGAGGGGATGATCGAAATTAATGAAGGCAGCCATTAAAAATACAATTTCTATAGCTTTCCAAACCCACCCTGCCAACCTGAGTAATGCATGAAGCAAGAAAAGGGTGAGGACAATTTATACATGGTTCTGCCTTGCTTACTTTTGAATAAAAAAATTTAACACTGAGAAAAGTTTGATGATAGATAATTGTTGTATATGTTCCACTGAGAATAAAAACAGCCTTGTATCTACCTTCTGATTCCTTCTCCCCATCTTCCATTTTCCTAGCAAATTCTCCTTGTTGCTCATCAAATAAAAGAATGGTTCCTTTGGCTGGAAATGTCTTGGCCGAATAAGCAGTAGTTCGGTATTTATGAAGGAAGAAATGCAAGCCTGCGATGCAGTTGTAAGTGATTCATCTTTACATAAAATGTGTTGGAACTTTGGAATCTCATTTCAAGATAGTATTCTTAGAGCCAAGTCAGCAACTCAGGACACTCATGCTAGGAGGTGGGTATGGAATGCAGGAAGTTCTAGAAGATATGCTTTGGGAGTTCCAAACAAATCGTATGTTTGCATTTTGAGCTAGGTGGCTTGCAATGGTAGTTTACAGGACTTCTAAGCTCTGGTGCTGGGGAGAATTAAGAGCCCATAACACCTTATGGGCTTTGAGTAAGTCAGGTTATAAAATCTCTTTGGGATTTGAGCCCAGCAAGTTCTACACCTAGGTGAAGCAATGAATAAAAGTTTATGAGAATAAACAATTTAAGGTAATTTAAAATATCATATATTCAGTATGCATAATAAAAATATATCCATATAATGATCTTGATGTGATCGTTAATTTTTCTCTTTATAAAAATAATCCCTTGAAAGTGCTATTAGGAGCTACCTTTCTATATTTGTTGCGAAAGGCAATTTCCTGGCCCTGCAGTATGCTCTCGTTCTCACAGCGTTCCTAGTTTCCCTCTTTCATTGGTAATAATGCACAGCACAGTTTCCTCACTCGGCTTCTGCCTTAGGAAAGGCCAATACCAAATACTGAAAGAGTTCAAAAGGACAATGCGTTGGGGTGGGCTAGCTCTGACTTGGAACAAACAATGGGTAAGTTGTCCTTAACTTACTGAGACATGTGACGAAGCGGGACCACTTGATCTCCAGGACTAATAAAGCTTCAGAGTCCCTACCAGAAGTGCAAACAAGAAACTCAACTTATATTTTAAAAATTAAGACATAACAACAAACTATGATGGGAAATAATAGACTCATATCCAACTTCACGCTATAGAAACCACGGTCCAAACTAAAAGTTTGCATCATAACAGTTATGGCTTCCTAAGCCAGAGAAAGTTTACTGTACTCCAAGAATCAACTACGGTTGATAGATAGCAGGTATTCAGTAGTTTGCAATGACAATTGAGTAGCTGTGGATTGCATAAATGTGTTGTGTCACATAATATCAAAGTTATTTGCAAAAATTACACAATCTGGAATGCTTGAATATGAGACACAACAATGTACTGAAACATACATTTTAAGAAAATGAGAGCAATCATTTATATAAAAGGTATTGGGGTGCATTAAGTTAGCAGTGCTACCAAGGTTAAATAGGTAAAGTAGGTGTTTTGATTGGCTACTTAGAATTCCAGTCACACAGATCTAAGCTTCCCCTATCTTAAAATCCATGCCTCCTGGTTAAACTTGCTTAGGATCCCACGGGTAAAGACTGACTGGGCAATGTCCATGAGACAGGTTGAAATCCAAGCTCTTCCCACTGTTGTTCTGGGAATGACTTTTCGTGACTGAGCCAGACTTCCTCCTTGTGACACACAGCTGCTTCCAGCCTTCTCCAGCCCACGCCTTTACCTCACCACACAGTGTGCCGTATTTCCCCAAGCTGACAAGAATTTCTTGGTAGTTTTTGATTTTCAGGTCTATTTTCTATCACACTGGGGCTGACCCTTTTTCTTCCCAGGGTGCAGCACTCTGAAAGTGCCCCCAAGACCTCCTATTTCTGAGACCCTGCTGTCTTATTTGCACTTAAAGCGGAGGAGGCGGGTAAAGCTACACTTTTTTCAGCGTTTGGTTGATCTAGGGTTTCAAATTCCCAAGGACACACTTCTGCTCGCGACGTTAAAAGTGGCTGGGAGTGATTCCTTGAGTTACAGGAGCCAGGAATGGTGCCCCCAGAAGCAGATGTCTGTTTCTCCTGGTCTCCCGTTTGGTTGAGCTTTTCCTTTTCTACTTTCGATGCTTTGCGGGGCAGTTCTTCATATTGCCCAGCACACACACTGGCTGTGTAGAGCTGACTTCCATTCTCCTCCCTAGCTCTCCCGGGTAGAACTGGAGTCTTAGAAATCAGTCGATTCTCGTCTTCCAAAAGGGACGGACCTTGGCTCTCCCAGGGGCACACCTCTGTCTTGTCTAAACTCTTGTGATTAAGTTGGTGAAGACCGTCAGCTGCCTTAGGCTTGAGGTGGGCCTTCTCCTTCAAGGAAGAAACTGGGTTTTGTTCCAGTTCAGAAGCTGCAATTGATACGTGTTTTTGAGCTTTTGGTTCTGAAGGCACAGGACCAGGGGTCAGATCATAAACCTCCCAAGGGCACACTTCTCCAATGTCAAAATTGTCCTTTATCTGGTTGGTACTGGGGCTCAGGTCAGAATTGGCAGTTGGGAGGTTGACCCTCTGCGGTTTCATAATCCCGGATTTCTGAGGCTTTCTTTGCTCCTCCAAATGATTGGAGTTTGGGAGGCTGGAATCTTTCGTGTCTGTGTTATCCGGATTTGAGTACTTCCTGTTTGACTCTCTATCTTTTGGCAGAGGTTTCTGAGACTTAGATCTGTCTTCCATAGCTAAAGTCTGGTTTTTTCCAGCCAGCCCGAGCGTCTTCTCCTTGGCACTTGCAATGACACTGAGCGACTTCTGTAACATGGACGTGCGCGGGTGCCCAGGCTTCTTCTCGGAGCTGAGGTTGTGAGCGCTAGCTGACTTGCACACCAAAGGCACGGACTCTGTGGACTCCGCCTCAATGTCTTCTTTGAGCTTTTGTGTCAGTTTTTTACTTGACAGGGACTCCAAGGTCGAATTTTCTGTGGCTTCCTCCTCCTGGCTCTCTGCGGGCAGGCTGCTGGGCTCTTCTGTTTGCTCTCTCACATGGTCATACGTGCTATGGGATTTTTTGAGAGAAAAGACCCGATTTTTCAGGGACTCCTCTTTGGGTCTCCCAGTGTTCCCTGAGGACTCAGCGGGGTTCTTCCGGACAAGGCCTGTTCCCTTAGCCGCACTATGATCTGTACCCTCCTTGTCCTCCTTGGAGCACTGCCTGCTGACCGTCTCTGGGATCTCGGTGATACGCCTCATGATGGAACGGCCTAAGCCCTTCTTGGAGCACCGCTTTTTCTGTAGGTGGGGGTTGTTTGTGATCATTTTCTTGCGCTTGTATACTTCTAACTGGGCATAGAGTTTTTTCAGCTCATCCTGCCGGGACAAGAAGAATTTCAAAGAGGCAGAGATTTAGCTTTTATGACAAAAAAACACCTGACTGGTGCTAATGAAAACGAGAATGAGCTTTCTCGGACAATTGTAATGACTGCAAACATCAATTTCTCCTTGTTCTTAACTTTCTAATAATTTTGTTTTTTTTTTTTTGCCTTAAACAAACTTTGAACATTAATACACAAATTTATAGGTTTTACTTTGCTTCATGGAGCAAAGACTTGGAATTTTTAACTCGTGTGATCAAGACTGAGCCCAGCTATAGGAAAACCCAATGTCCCAAGGGCTGCTGCACATCAACCCTGTGAGGTGTTGGGAGCAGCGTTGCCACTGATACAGTCATGACTGGTGCGAGCTGGACCTGGCAACAGCAGTGCCAAGCATCTGCCTTCAGAGGCTGATCCATTTTCACACAGTGTATTAAACAAGCCAGTCTCTCTGCTCACAGGTGTTTGTTACCTTGCTAAAACCATGAGATGTCAACAAGCCAGGCAAGGCAGGAAGTGTGAACAAGGCAGGTGGGAGAGCTGAGGCAGGTGGGAGAGCTGAGGCAAGTGGGAGAGCTGAGGCAGGTTTTTTTGTTTGGTTGGTTTTGGTTTTTTGAGACAGGGTTTCTCTGTGGCTTTGGAGCCTGTCCTGGATCTATCTCTTGTAGACCAGGCTGGCCTCAAACTCAGAGATCCGCCTGCCTCTGCCTCCCGAGTGCTGGGATTAAAGGCGTGCGCCACCACCACCCAGCTGCTGAGGCAGTTTTGTGAAGCACAATTATACCATGATTCTACACTGCAGTCTTACTTCCCAGATGCCTTCAGGCTCACAAACATACATTCTCTTTTTCTTCAGAGCAGACAGAAACCTGAGCCCACATATGCGCCCCCATCCACACACACTTGTCTGTATGAACTGATCTGACAGAAAAAAAAGGTCCCTCTGGCCATACCCGTATGTCTTCTGGATCTAGGCTGTGTTCACTCCAGGCTGAGTTGATACTGCTGTTCAAGTAGGATCCAGAACGACCCATGTCCAACTCATCTTCATATGCCTCTGTAGCAATGTCATCTCGGGGATTATTGCTTGAATGTGAAAACTGCAATAGATATTCAGTGTTAACTGTAGCCATCAACCCTTTGTTAGACAGCACATCATCTGATGCTAACTTGATTTCTTCATCTAGATGGATTCGCCCACTCAACACTTAGCAATGCTTTGTGGCTATGATTGTGGTTTGCTTTCCCTGGAATGTGCTAGCGCTGACTGTAAGGCAACATCACTCCATTCACTCTTCCACCTTAACATTACCCTTGTTTCTTCCCTAGGATTCCAGAGTTAGGTTTTACTCATTTTCCATAATATATTTGCTCTTTGAAAAAAATAGGTAGAAGAATTATAAGAAAGCCTCCATAGGAGAAGGAATTTGATGTACTTATGCATGGATGAAACTGTCTGGATATAGTATTATATAATACATTAATTTCTGCTTCAGTGAGAATCTATTCATCTATATAGATAATTACCCTAGAGACAGGGATGTGACTTTTCAACTATGCATGTGGCTTTACCTAAAACCCGGTGGAAAGGATATGTGATCTCAGTCACACACTGGCCATCGGTGAACTCTTGACTAAGACATGGGACTCCTGTAGAGCACGGTATCATCTTGCTTAATGGCATCTCACTCAGATGGTAGTTAAATTAAAGTGGAAGATTTAACTGACACTAGAGTTTTTGCCTCAAGCACATCATTTTTAATCACGCTCCCCCTTTCTCACATTTTGTTTTTGCTCATGTGCTGTTGTTTGGTTTGGTGTGCTTGTCTGTGTTTTCCTTAGGTATTGAAGTCAGGAAGAGTGAGTTGGGTGAGTGACAGAAGGCAGGAAAGAAAGAACAATCTAGTCATGCCTTAAACGATATGGAGACAACGTTTTAAGAAAATTGAAATAACAGTTTAGAAAACATATTCTCTCGGCCCAGATTAACAATAGTTCAAACATTTTTTAAAAATTAGTAGATCCTGCAGAGATAGCTCCACCAGACTTAGTCAACTGTTACCAACAGTGAAAACATTGATGCAAAGGAAAGCAAAATGGAACTTGGGTTTGTGCACAATGAACTGTGTGTTCAGTATTAATTGGGACTTTAATCTTGTGTAATTTTCAGAGTTTATTTATACTTAAAATTTAATAGATCATTTATTTTATGATGCAAAGGTTTTTAAAGGCAGTTGTCATTAAATGACTAGCTTAGTCAACTCTGCTGCTTTTTTTTTTTAATGTCAACTTACAACAATTTAGAATCACTCAGGAAAAGAGTCTCAGTTGAGTAGTTGTCTTTATCAGGTTGTTTCATCATGTCTGTGTAAGTCCGTCTTGGTTGTTAATTAATGTAGGAAGGTTTCTACTACTGTGGGTGTCACCATCCCCTAGGCATTGGGGCCTGAACTACTTAAGATGAAACAACGTTGGATGAAGCAATCAAGCAGATCAGTGCTGGCGCCCATTTTTCTCTGCTCGTGACTGTGGATGTCATGTGAATACCCACTTAAGTTCTTGCTCAACTTCCCCTTGGTTGCAGTGGACTATGGCTTGGGACTGTAAACCAAATAAATCCCTTCTTTCCTCAACATGTTTTATCACAGCGACAGGGTTAGAACTAGAACACCAGTTATCCATGTGCACACAATAACACGGGAGGCAGAAATCTTCTACTTAACAACAATCTGTGTTTCGTACTTAGCACTTATTGAAAAACCATGGTGACTAAATCCTGCTTTTCCTCTTTTCCTATGAGACCCACAGGCACCAGAGACTTCCAGATGTGAGAGCTAAATATGGTAGAGTCCCAAGTCTATATAGAACCTGAAGGACACCTACATGAACAGAATCATTTTCAACCAAAATTGTTGAAACAGTATAAGTTTAAGACAGAGTTCTCATGGTTGCACAACAAGTGCATTACTGACTGATGATCTCCCTAGCCTGCACTAAATGCATTTTATTAACAAATAGCTTCCATTATAAAGATATACCATGTTTTACTTATGTATTTATCAGCTGACAAACATTTAGGTTTTTATGAATAATAGTGCTGTGAGCATTCATGAATAAGGATTTTGCATGAACATTAGATTTAAATTCTCTTTGTAGTTCAGTAATAATTTAAGAAGGAACAGTCAGAGTTTCTATTAACTTAATAAATATGTAATTTGTATTACAAAGTTTTAAAGAACTCAGATAAACTACAGTAGCAAAGTAACCTCTGGAAACATTGTGATCAGTTAACATTACTCAGGGAGGCAGAAAAACTGATATTTTACTGTTTGTAATTGTTTAGTCTTTTCAATCAGATTGAACCTATCGGTTATATGTGATTAGTGAGACGAAACCAGGTGTGAAAGACAAGTCACAACTCTGGGCTTAGCTGCTGTGATACGTTTCTCTGTAAACATCAGAATAGTTGTGATAATAATTAGAAAGCTGTAATTTATATAATCTACTTTTAGCCCAAACTCCAAAGTCATCTTATTTTATTCTAAGTTTTACTTCTGAGGAAACTGAAACTCAGATCAGAATCTTGGCTGATGTTACAATACACAGTCAGGTAAAAAGGTAAGAACCATCCAGAATCTACATCGGCTGTGTTCACTTCCCCTTTAATCCTAGGCAAATCACAACCAGAATATGCCATTATAGAGGTTCCTCTATACATAATATCACACTCACTAATTTTTATTATACAAAAATTCTCTGAAATTTTGACACAAGATTCCTCTGAAGGCAGATATAGAGAAGTTGTTTAGCTCAGCAGTTCCTTAAAAATTGTTGGTGGTCAGGAGAGATTGCCCAGCCGTTAAGGGCTAGGCTCACAACCAAAAGTAAAACAACCTTGCTAATATTGCCAGCTTCAGCAAGGGTTACTTTAAATAAGTCATAATGACTAAGAGTGAAGTAGAAATAAAAATATTTGGAAAGGGACTAAAAATCTGGTATAAATTAAGGTCCTTACATTTTATTTAAGATGTTTAATAATTTCCCAAGGAAACAGACACTCACTTTCCTGGGGTGAAATGTTAGAGGCAACTTTTGGAGCATCAAGCAAATCCCCACACTCCCTTTGTCCATAGTTATGTGTACTTTTAAGAGAAGTAAAACTCCATGTGCCTCAGACAACTGCCCTGCAAGAACAAACACAATACTGGATGAATACCTTTGGGATCAAAAGCAGCCCAATGGTGACTGTCACCGTCAAGTGAGTGTGTGCAAAATAGAGCATCAGCATCCAGTCAGACTGAAGTCTTGAGGCCAGCACGAATCTGAAAGGAGAGGTCTCCATGTTAGCTGTTAAGGTAGAGATTTCGACTTCAAAATCCAGCATGTTTGCAGACATTTCCACTCTACGTACTTAGAGACACAAAATGGTTGCTTCTATGCATATATTTTCATCACAGAAAGATAAAGGTGTAAATGACTTTTAAATTGGCAGAACTGTAAAGTTATTATTTAAGGTTGTACCTACGTATAGACCATGCTAATACTTTTATGTTGACATTTATTGATATGATATACATATATACATCAATTCTACAATTCTGTACATAGGTTCAAAATGGAAGCTATAGATGGTAGCTTGGGTAAATTTAGTTGCATGTCATGTTTGAGTATTTTCTTGTAACATTATTTGTTTTAAAACATATCAATTGAAGTGAAGGATGGAAAGAATAGTTAATTACTTACTTATTTGTCTTTGTGAATAGTCTCAAAACCTTACAACAGTGAGCGAGTGATGCAGTTGATAAGTGGCTATGCTAACGATGTTTGAGATGCCCTTTGCTTGTTTTCATTCTCACTTTGTGGTTTTGTATGAACACTTTTCACCTCTGAGCAGCACACCCAGTAAGAGGAATCTTTTAGAATAAAGCTTTGGATTTTTCAAAAATTGTCAAGTTGTCTTAAATAATTTACAGTATTTAGAATAATCTCCAATCGAAGTTTTCATAAAGATCTTCTTCAAGCTGGCGAAGAGGATTTACTACTGGTCTGCTCTGGAATTCCTGTCAATCCGCGGGTGAATGCACAAGGAGAGCGCCATTTAAAAGGACTCATCCCCATGCCCAAACTAGGGGCTGTATTTATAAAGGTTTTATTGTAATTATAATCCTCCTTTAACTTCCCCATACACTGTAAAAAATATTTCCCGGTGCTCAATATGCTATTTTACTGCTTTAGAAGTTGAAGAATTAGAATTTTGTTCCAATGTCATATAACATAAAATTTGAAAAGTTAACATACTAATGAATTTCATATTATTAAGGTTTACTTCATTGTTAATTATGTGTATGTGTAAGTCTGTTTGTGAGTATTGGCATATGTGTGCAGGAATGTGTGGAACCCAGAAGGAATCCACTGGATTCCCCTAGAGCTGGAATTACAGGGCAGCTGTAACTACTCAGTGTGGATGCTGGAAACAGCCCTGCTCCTCAGGAAGAACAGCAAGTGCTCTTAACTACTGAAACATCTCTCCCGAGGGTTCACATTATAATTACAGACCAAACATAGTAATGGCTGAACTTGACTAAGCTAAATTTAAAGTCTGCAAGGTACCACATTCGTTATAATTTTGCTAATGTGTAAAGCAAAAGTGTCACCAAGGGTTTTGCGTCCTTATCTCACTCCTCCATCCTTTAGAACACTGAGCTAAGATAGACGCTTGGGGTCATCCAAAATGGAAAGCTATTTCCCCACGATCCTGGAGATGTGAAAAAAGACTCACAGCTTACAGGAATGTGCAGAACTTTGATGACAGCTCACATGTCAAATGGCTGTTCTGGACTGACACCTTCTCTAGTTCCTTTGTGGGAAAGGTGGACTTCCCTAGGCTTTGAATATTTTTAACATGTACTTTATTCAAGGGCAATAAACTTTATGTCATGATCTGTTTCCTCGAGTCATGTGAAATTTTCTTAAACCGTTGTGCCATACTGAGCAACAGATGACAGTCTCTGAAGCATGCATGACACACGCATTTACATTCACACACACATATATACATACATATATATTACATATGGATATATATGAATGGTGTGCCCTACAAAATGATACAAACCCAGTTATTCAGTGGTCATTACAAATCCTGGCAGAGAAAGGCGCAGGAGTGAAAATGGATTTGTATCTGCAAGCACCCTCTTGTAGGGAAAATTCTATCTCCTATGCCAACACAAGTATGTACTCTCCATAGGAAGTTGTCTTCTACACCTAGGGGGAGTGGTTCCACACACTTTAAGTAAAAATTGTGACCTTCTGAAAATTACTTTGAAATAATGCTGACATTAATTATTTTCAATTTAATCAGCCTTAAATTGCTGCCTGGTTGCAGCTCTGGCTGGAAATATCTTGAGAAAAAATGGTTTTACAGCAGTTGTTTTGAAGCTTCAGTTTTAAAACGGTGTTTTAGCTTTGCAAAAATAGACTGAAAATCCAGGAGCATAGAAATATTTGAGAATGTGTGTTTAAAAATAAAGCAATAAAAAAAATCTTGCAGATTCCTAAATGGTTTCTTTGTGCTCTCTCTAAAAGTCAGTGAAGGATTAGAGCAGGCTGGAAGAAAGGCCTTTGCTCAATTACCTCTTCAGAGTTAGTCCTTTGATTTTGGTTTGCTTTTGTGTAATCTCCCAATTACATAAGAATGAAAGTAAATATATGTACTATATACACATACATAAAATATCATATGTGAAGCCACAAGCAAGAACACGTGTGTCATGCATGTCTCCCTATTTCTAGAACCTTAGTCAACAGTAGTTTATTCAAGAAAAAAAAGGACGAAAGTGGATCTTGTTGGTTTAAAATTATTGCTATTGCTTCTTTTTCTGGGTCTTTATAAGCTTCAGAATTATTGATTCCATGTGTAAGTAGGTTTGGAAAATATTTAATTTTAAAATATTATTTCTATTACTTTCCTCCACCCATGCTCTAAATCAGTGTTCTGTAGGCCTACTGTGTGAAACTAAAATTTCATTTATTTGTCCTTTCTGGCAATACAGATTCCCAAATTTTTAATGTTTCAAATGCACACACATACATAAAAATATCCAAACGAATGTACTACTGTTAACGGTGCTTATCTCTGGAGGATGAATGAGCTGTTTGCTTCTTACCTAACTGTTTTATGATTTTTCAGCAATGACTATATGTTGCCTTATTACTAAAATATCTTTGAAATTTTTTCAAAGAAACAATATAGTTGTCTGTTGATGAAAGGAGCTGGGTGAATTTTCATTTCCAAATCCATTAAAAATCATATTTAGTATGGGACCAACCAGAGAACATCTAAAGCACACAGGGACATTTATACAACTTCTTTGACCTTTTTAATTTGGGCAATTTGTTTCTCTGAATGCTGGCAGCTTATTGTAGGCAATAAGCTTTTTCACTCCTTGGTACCATTATGAGAATAACAGGGCTGGTAAATCACCCACAAGGGGCCTCCTTGGAGACTTTCAGCTATGTGGCTTCTGAACAGAACATTTGACTTTGTAGTTTGGTGTAGGAGGTCCTTCTGTTTATTTGTTGCTTTCATTGGTTGAATAAAGAAACTACCTCGGCCTTTTGATAGGGTAGGAACTTAGGTAGGCGGGGAAGACAGGACTGAATGCTGGAAAGAAGGGCAGAGTAGCAGACACCATGAAGCTCCTGCCTGAGACTGACGGTGGTTAGAATCTTTCCTGGTAAGCCATGACCTCGTGGTATTATACAGATTATTAGAAATGGGTTGAATCAAGATATGAGAGTTAGCCAATAATAGGCTAGAGATAATGGATCAGGCAATAATTTAATTAATACAATTTCTGTGTGGTTATTTTGGGTGTAAGCTAGCCTGGCAGTGGGATGCAGCTTGTTACCTCCTTCTACAGTTTGGTGCCCAACATGATGGACTAAATCCACTTAAGAACCTGAGAGCTTAATTTTAAACACAGAAAAAACAGAGTTTAACACAGCTCTTTGCTGTTTGCTGGTAGTGTGCCACAGAGAGATTTTCCTGAATCAGCAATAAAAAAAAAAAGCTGCACCATTTTAAAAACGAGGCTTTCTGAGCCCTGACGCCAATGCAAACTCCAGCTATGGGGCATTTGTGGGCCCAGGTGTTTGTGTGCCCACTTGGGGTCGGGAGCAAAGTATCTGAGATCTTGCCCATGGCTCAGCTCTTCCTTCCAGAAGGCAGGATCAGGCTTGGGCAGGCAGGAGAGTATGGCAGATTCCCGCTGCCATACACAGAGTGTTTCCAAGCTGTGCAGTGCTCTGCGTGGCAGATTTGGCTGTAGCTCAGATAAAAAGAGTGTATGTGCTGCACACTCATTCTCAGAGTTAAAGTGCTGAGGGTAGCTCCTACCTGGCAGCCACAGAGCTAGCAGAAATGGTATGTCCACCATTTTGAAATTGGAGAGAAGTAGAGCCAACATCCAGAGCAGCTGCAACCAAGCTGCTTAGCATTTTAAAAGCTCTTTAAGACAGTAGAGAATTAAAGACAATGCAATAAGAAAGATTCAGATATAAAAGACCTTTAAATGGGTCACGGTGTTGTATAAATGTACATAGGCTTGGGAAAGAAATGAAAAAGAGTATAGAGAGTCATAAAATAAAGTTAATGCCTAAAAAAGGGTAAAGTCTTTAACAACTTTAACAAGAATAAAGTCATAGAGTAAAAAAAGCCATGTAAAAATGGAAAATTCACAGAGTCTGGATTTTGTGTATCATTGTTTTCTTTGAAATTTTTTGACTGTGAAGGAGCTAAATACAGAGAGACTTTTCATAGTATGGGCTGCTAAGCTAATCCAGCATGTATATTATAAAGGTATCTTGACTTCAGAATTGGTTCTAAGGATATGATGCTTTGGAAAAGAGGTTCTTTTGTTTTCACAAAGGATGAGACCCTGCGGATTGATTCTAGACCAATATGGTATGATAGAACACCCCTCCTGAAAGACTGCTGTGAACACCCTCAAAACTTACTTTGCTCAACTGCCAACTGAGATGAATGTAGCATACAGGATACACCATAAAAGACCTAATTAATAGTGCCCCCATACATCACGAAGCAGTTTGGAGAGAAAAAACTAGGCCCATATTCCCAAATATTGTTTATAAATATTCTTTTTACATGTAAAGGAGGTATGATATAGATATGAATAATTTGCATTGGTATAAATCTTGATTTATTGATACAAGTTTAAGGTCAATTTTGTTATATGTATATGTATTTCTGATCTTGATTAAGGTATTGTGATTGTGTAGTTCATTTAAAAATGTATTGTATAATTAGGAAACATAGGTTGTCAATAATAGTCAAGCTTGTAGTCCTGCTAAATTTTCTAGATATATAGAGATATATTTCAGTTAGATAGGCATTCTTCATATCATATCTTTCAAAGACTACAGAATATGGCATTTAAGATGTTTTAATAACTTAGGGCTTTTCATGACAATGAAACACGTCTGTTCTTGGCAGCACCAATCTACTTCAAGAGGAATATGGGCATCAAAGAGGCTCCTTATGGAGTTGGTTAGCCATTTGGACAAGAAACTGCTCTTGCCTGGACTGTTGCATAAACTGGACATAAAGAATCCACAGAGAGAGGACTGCTGAACTTGCCTAGAGGTGAGATGTTCCTTCAGGGTTCCTGATTCATGAAAGAGTCTGTGAGACATTCTGAAGGATACAGAAGAAAGTGACTGAACTGTCTTTGAAATTTTCTGCTTCATGGAAAAGTCTGCTGGATACTATGGCCCAGTAGGCTGAAGATGGATGCCCCAACAGTACAGAATAACTTTGGGTAACTGTACAGGCAGCAAGATGTCTCTGTAGTTTCTAGAGTTTTGGAAGTTGCTTATAATGCACTTCCAGTTTACTTAGGTAATAAAGCCTTCTGAAGTCTTTGATGGAGTTGAAGAATTTATAGTTATAGTTTTCCTTAGTTATGATAAAATAAAAAAGTAAATATAAATATTGTAATTATATTTCTTGCTTGATAACTGTTTTGTTATATGTAATTTTAGTATGTTAAAGTGAAAGCCTTTCTTCTTTGGTTTAAACAGAAAAGGGGAAATGGTGTAGGAGGTTCTTCTGTCTATGTGTTGCTTTCATTGGTTGAATAAAGAAACTGCCTTGCCCTTTTGATAGGGCAGCACTTATGTAGGCAGGGTGACAGAACTGAATTCTGGGAGGAAGAAAGCAGGGTGAGAGAGCCACCATGGAGCTGCCAGATCAGACATGCTGAATCTTTCCTGGTAAACCATGACCTCGTGGTGGCATACAAATTATTAGAAATAGGTTGAATCAAGATGTGAGAGTTAGTCAATAACAGGCTAGATCTAATGGGCCAGGCAGTATTTAAATGAATACAGTTTCTGTGTGATTATTTCGAGGGTTAAACTAGCTGGGTGGCTGGGACCAAAAGCCAGCCCTCCCTCCTTCAACAGTAGTTGGTTACAGAGAAGCAGGCTTGTTAAATCTTAAAACTTATACTCTTGACCTTCTGGAGACTAGTAACAAAAGTGACTTCGCTTGTAAGGTAACCTTGAGGACTATGACAAGGTCTTCTGTCTTTTCCCACATTCTAGACCCAGGTCATTCTCTGTCAGATCTGGGGACTCTAGTCCTGGTGGATTTAAGAAGTCTCCCTCCTTTTTTTTTTTTTTTTTTTTTACATTTAATGCCATATTCTATTCTTCTTCTCAAATATCCAACACCTTCTATTTTCTGCCCATCTTTATTTCTCCATCTCTTGAGCTGAGGCAAGACAAAACTGGGCCAGTTCCCTGACTCCTAACCTGATGGGGTTTCCAGGGCTAATGGATGACAGATAACCTCCTTTTTTGTTTAAAAGTTTAAGTATCTTCCTGGAATCCCAAATGCTCTCTGGCATTACTGGTTTCTAAAGGTAGAAGTCAGTATTTTCTGAGAGGCAGTCACACAGAGAAACTGCCACACCTTCCCCAGCCTCCTGTTCCTCTCCAACTCCAGGGAAGTATAGATGTCAGCAGGGGAATGACCCCTAACCCTTTCATCAGGGAAAAGATACTCAACTGTTGCTATAAGGAGTGGCGAGCTACGTTCCTGGCACCCGGCCGCCCGCACAGCTAGCTTTACCCAAAATAACAACACACAAATTGTATTCATTTAAACATTGCTTGTCCCATTATATCTAGCCTCTTCTTGGCTAACTCTTGCACCTGGACTAGCCCATTTCTAATAATGTGTGTAGCACCCCAAGGTGCGCTTACCAGGAAGATTCTAGCCTACGTCCATCCTGGATTGGAGCTTCATCATGTCTGCCAGGGAGAGGGGAGCATGGCGTCTGAGCTCACTTCCTCTTCCTCCCAGCTTTCTGTTTACTCCACCCACCTATGTTCTAACCTATCAGGGCCAAGGCAGTTTCTTTATTTAACCAATGACCTTCCTCCATTACTCAATTTTTCTCATCACAGTCCTAATTGTATTCTTTCAGTATTTTTCAAGCAATTGGATGACATTTTTTGTTATTATTAAAATGCTAGGATTCCTTTTGTTATCTGGCCCCTGATTTCCACTTTATTTTTATTATGATGCATGGGAAAGGCCTCACAAGTCAGGTGCACATTGTTTCATCTCTCTACTCTTCCTTCTCCTTGTCTGCTGGACAGATTCATGGGAGAATCACAGAACAATGGCTAGTTGATAAATTCTAGGCTCAGAGACCATGCCTAAAACATGAAAGAAGTTGAGGCTTGGCACCACAAAGAGAGCCTGAAAGGCTACTGATGAAAGTGCAGCCCAGTTGCAGCTGAGACCCATGGTCTTGGAGACACCAGTACTGTGGTATGACCATCAGGGACAGCAGCAGCAGTGGAGCGGAGCTAGCTGGAGCCTAGAAGACAAGCTGTTTGTGCTTCGGAGGGCAGAGCCAGAGAAGGGACCCAGGCGGCTCTTTGGAGGACTCCAGAAGATTATGAGTGGAGCCCAGATAATTGGACACTGTCTTTTTTATTTATACTGTCAGAGTTTGGGTTGGCTTTGTTCAGGTTGTGATGATTCCCTGGTTCTTCCCTCTTGAAGAAGGAATTTAATTTTGATTTTTTATAAGATCCCACAGATGAAAGATTTGAACTTAAAAAAAGATTGGATATTTTAAAGAGACTGAAATTTTAAAGACTGAACTGGTAAAGAATATGGTAAAATCATAAAAAATTATGATTTTAGTGTGAGATCTTGGGTATGAATAAGAAAGGAAGGGATGTGGCTTAATAGTGATGTGTTTGTGTGTCAAGTTGACAAAAGCTCAGTTGTACTGGCCGGTTTTATGTGTCAACTTGACACAGGCTAGAGTCATCAGAGAAAATGTCTCAATGAGATTCACTTGTAAGAAATTTTCTCATTTAGTGATCAATAGAGGAGCGGAGCGTCAAGCCAATGGTGGATGGTCTCTGGGTTCTGTAAGAAGGCGGGCTGAGCAAACCATAGGAAACAAGCCAGTAAGCATCTCCCCTTCATGATCTCTGCACCAGATTATGCCTCCCAGGTTCTTGCTCTGTTTGAATTCCTGTCCTGACATCCTTAAGTGATGAACAGCAATGTTCAAATGTAATTCAGATAAACCCTCTCCTCCTGAAGTTGCTTTTCGGTCATGGTGTTTCATTGCAGCAACAGAAGCCCTAACTAAGACAGATCACTTACCTAATTGTGTGGAATATAGCCGTGATAATGAGCTCATTGTGTACGGCGACAGCCATGTAGCGAGGTTCATGAAATGCTGAAGGAACTGTTCGCACTGCATAGCAGAGATAAACGCCCCACAAGAGGAATAGAAATTCAGCTGCGAGAGAAACAAACAATTCCCCATTAGTTTCATAGGTTAAAAATAGAAAATTAATGTTTTTTAACATGCCTTTTATTATAGGAACATAATCTGAGATGTTGCAAAGTTCGATTCACATAAAGATACAGAGGCCATCTATTTAATTTTAAAATTTTATTCCATGTACATATTTTTCAAAGGTACACTCTGTTGTTGCTTTTGTTTATAACACAATTGATAGTCTCATTGTTTTGCTAATATATGGCCTTTTCCTTTACACTAACTGTGAAATGATATTCTCCATTCTCAAGCCAAGTTTGGTGTTCATAGGAGGCTGGGTCCTAACAAAGTATTGAGACAAGAAACCTACACAGCTTCTGGAAATGGAAGTTCCCGCTGCATCAAGCCCAATTCAGAGAGTAAAAATAGCCACGGTCGGAGCTGTGGGAGCACAGGTTGCTAAACACTCAGTGGCAGATTTTACAAATGAAACATTGTTTCTTCACACATGACAGAAATTCTCTTTTGTGGGCAGAATATGGAAAGAGTCATAAAATCTGCAATCACCTTGTTGGATCTTTGTGCCAGGAGGGGGCAGGCACAATGTATCAGCTAAGAGTGACTAGGCTGAGCCTGAACTCTCCCTAATTCAGCATAGACTCAGGCTATGTCCTATGAAGACTCAGTTTCTTTACCTGGAAAGCAAGACTCATAAAAGTGCACACTTGGAGGACTATTTGCTAACTAGATGATCTGGTATACACGAAGTCTTTAACATGGTTCCTGAATCATCTCAAGGCTTTCTTAATACTAGGCCTATCATTTGTTAGTTTTTCAAACTTATCATTTCTTCTTTTTATTTTAATTTTAATTTCATTTTATTTTATTGATAGGATGTAGCCTCCAGTTCAAGTTGCCTGAATCCAGGGATTACAGCCAGGTGACATCACAGCCTGTTTGAGCACTGCAATATGAAGCCACTCTGACTAATCCACTTCATCTCTCTTAGTAACATGACCTTACTGGAAAATAGCATCTCACCGCTAAGAGCGATAGCTCTCATGTGGAGACACCCCGTATGCTAGGTCACCCAGATGTAACCTTGCACCTGAAATGCTGGCCTCTATTCAAAGCACTGATTGTCCATCCGCAAGCCAAGTGGCTCTCTCTGCCAACACTCCAGCTTCTTTCTACCAGAATCTAAACATTAGACAGTGCTCCAATTACTGGAAATCCCACCTCTCCTACCCACCTCTCCTACCCACCTCTCCTACCTCAGGCTGGCCTCAAACTCACAGAGATCCACCTGCCTCTACCTCCCAAGTGCTGTGATTAAAGGCCTGCGCCACCACTGCCTGGCTCTCTGTAGCTTTCACAGCCTCTCCTGTAACTAGCTCTTGTAGACCAGGCTGGTCTCGAACTCACGGAGATCTGACTGCTTCTTCCTCCCATGTGCTGGGATTAAAGGCATGCATCACTACCACCTGGCTTTTAATTGTTCTTAATAAGAATAAACTGAAGGTAGTTATCAGGAGTGAAAGCTGAAGAATCTAGTGGCCAAACCACTAGAGAGATCTTTTACCTCTACCAATGCTCAGACCAAAGGGGCAATTCTGTCCTCAGACTGCTTCCTCAGACTGCATTTGAGCTCCTGTCTTTTCACACCTTCTATTCCTCTCTCCACTCAGTCATACCCCTTCCTGTCTCCACCTCCCTAGTGCTGGAATTAAAGCCCTAGGACTCCCAAGGACTGAGATTAAAGGTGTGAGTCACCACCACCCAGACTCTAGTGGTTTAGCTCTGCCAGCTGATCTTCAGGCAAGCTTTATTTGTTAAAACACAAACAAAATATCACTACACTGAAGCTCCCTGGGCTGGTTGGGTGGACGGAAGTTCGCCTATTCCCATGGAATTGAGGCATTGGGTCCTTTGACATGGTAGTGCCTATGACTACAATACACATGCACTCAAGGCTTTATCTGTTCTTTACACAGGCAGGACTCCCTCGGTTCCCCCTTCCCAAAACCAAAACCAAAAACAGAACACTATTAGAACTGGTAAATTATTTCAGTAAGGTTACAGAATACAAAATATATATATATATATAAACAGTAGTTTATATCATAATTTCTTAAATATTTTCCACTTGTGACTTCTTTTGGACCATGACATTTTTATGCAACTCTGGGCACATAGAGATAGAAAATACAAGAGCTGGCAAGATGACTCAGCAGGTGCGGGCATTTCCTCTTCCAGGGGACCCATGCCAGAAGACTCATAACCACCTGAATCAAGGATCCAACACCCTCTTCTGGCCTCTGAGGACACTGGTCCACGTGTAGTGCACACCCAGATACACATGTTCACTGGGTGACAATGATCCCCGGAGGCTCAGTCATCAGTTGATGTACTAGGAAAGATTAGGGGGTGTGGCCTCCTTGGAGAAGGTGTGTCACTCTGGTCTTGGAGGTTTGTGAAAGCCCACACTATGCCTGGTCTGTCCCTGTCTACTGCTTGTGGAGTAGGAAGGAGATCTCAGCTACTGCTCCAACACCCTGACTGCCTGCATGCTGTCATGCTCAACACCATGTTAAATACTTTCTTTTCTTCTTCCTCAGCACTACCTGTGAGGTGGCTGCCATCTCTTTTGCATCATTATGGCTGGCCTCTGGCCTCTGGTGAAGTCCAAGGTCCTCAAAAACAGGACCAAGAAGTTCACCCAGCGCCAGTCAGACAGATATGTCAAAATTAAGCGAAACTGGCTAAAACCCAGAGGTGTTGAGAGCAGTGTACAGAGAAGATTCAAGGGCCAGATCCTAATGTCCAGCATTGGTTATGGGAACAGCAAGAAAACCAAGCACATCTGCCTAGCGGTGTCAGGAAGTTCCTGGTTCACAATGTCAAGGAGCTGAAAGGACTTCTGATGTCCAGCAAATCTTACTGTGCTGAGACTGCTCACAACGTTTCCTCCAAGGAACATGGTAGAAAGAGCAACACAGCTGGCCACTAGAGCCACCAACCCCAATGCCACCAGAGTCACCAACCCCAATGCCACCAGAGCCTCCAACCCCAATGCCACCAGAGTCACCAACTCCAACACCACCAGAGCCACTAACCCCAACGCCACCAGAGTCACCAAACCCAACGCCGCTACCATAGCTTGCATGAATGTTTTAATCCATGGTTAAATAAAACCACAAAACTGCTGAAAAACAACCACCACAACAAAAATTCTTTCTTTTGTAAGAGTTGCCTTGGTCTTGGCATCTGTTCACAGCAATAAAACACCTGACTGAGACACTAAAATAAGAATGGCCTAAAATAGAAATAAATAGGTATTCAAATCCAACAGTTGCTGACAATAATCATAAATTTATTTGAAAGGAAATCTTTGGCATGCATGTAAGTTTGCCATCTATTAAACAGGACGGCAAATTAGGAGAGCAGAAATCATAAATGCAACTATGAAATGAGTGAACACCTGAACCTTCCAACCTTGTCAGACAGGGTTTTCTCTTGTCAAATGCTAACTGTAGGATACAGTCTAATTTTCTGTGCTGATAAAGAAGCATGAATAAATCAAACATTCTATCAGTTCAGAATCCTGTAGAAATGTCCGCTGTTTACTTCATCCACAAGGAGAAAGGCAGACAGCTCAGCTCAGCTAGCATCGACAGTTGTCTCTCTCATTCTTGCTGCCCTCGGATATCCTGGAGGGAAAGTCACTGCAATGCGTAGGAGAGGATGTGGCCAAGGGTCATGGAAAAGTAACCATGGGACAGGATGATGGCTCTTAGAAAATTCCAGAATGTCTGCAACCATGCTGGAGTTGCTGCTGAGCCATCTTCCTCAGATGAACCAAAGGGCCTGTCTTAATTCACTGGAGCCACTGTAACAGAATAGCTGAGTCTGGGTAATTCACAAGTGACAGATATGTGTATAAAGGTCGGCCCACACCTTTCATCCCAGCCTGGTCTACAAGAGCTAGGTCCAGGACAGCTAGGACTGTTACACAGGGAAAACTTGTTTCAAAAAAACAAAGAAAGAAGGAGGAGGAGGAGAAGAAGAAGGGAGAAGGGAGAAGGGAGAAGTAGAAGGAGAAGGAGGAGTACTGAGCAAGCCATGAAGAGCAAGCCAGTAAGCAGCACTCCTCTGTGGCCTCTGATTCAGCTCCTGCCTTCAGGATCCTGCCCTGCTTAAGTTACTGTCCTGACTTCCTTCAGTGATGAAAAGCAATGCTGAAGTGTAAGCTGAACAAACCCTTTCCCTTGCAACTTGCTTTTGGGCCATGGTTTTGGTTGCAGCAATAGAAACCCTAGCCAAGGCAACAAGACTGACAGTAGCAGAAACTAACCCGAACACCCGCAGAACCAGGGAAGAGCAAAAGGCTGGCAGGGAGAGGAACACAACAGCCACAAATCTCAGGAATATGGCTGACAACCCTGACCAGAGGGGCAGGACAGAGCTCGGGAATGATAGATTGCCTTTGTTTTCTAACCCTTTCTTGTTTCCCCCCACATAATCTGCTGCCTGGGAAAGCTCCTCACCTCTCCAGTCCTCTTGTTACTTTTTTTATTTTAGTACAAAATCTGAGTGGGCTATGCTAGCTTTGACTCTGTGTGACCCAGGCATGCCTTAAACTTGCAACCTTCTGGTCTCAGAGTCCTAAGCAGCTGATTGCTCAGGCCTACACCACCAGGCACAACTAAAGCCTTTGTCTTCCTTTGCTGGTTGTTTAGCCCCAACCCTAACCCCTCTTCAAGCGACAGCAACAGCACTGAGCCCACACACTTTGAGATTCAATAGTATTTGCTGAAGCGCATAACTGTAAATGCTATCAACTTCATTAGAGACATAATGTTCTGTTACCTGCCACTGCATCTAACACTGCTGGTTCTGCGGAAGCAAACAAGCAGGAGGTCTAGACTGGAGCCCCTGCTGCACTTTGTTCTGTTTGCTTACACATACTATCCAAAGCAAAGAGGAACTTATAGGCACTCCTACAATAGATTAAACTA